ACTATTTTGTAGGTTTCTTTACCTCACTTTCTGACCTCCATGCTGATTTCTCTTTCCTGATTTCTGTCATTCTTCCTATTTTTCTGTCCTTGGAACATAGTCTCCCCATTGTTGCCCTGACTTCTTATTTAGGGAGTCACATGGAAGAAACTTCTAATCTACCACCTTACCCCAGAACTGTTATTTTAAGTTGCTTTATGATTCTATTTTTCCTAACAGCTCTCTTGGGAAAATTGACATATCATAAAATTTTTAGTCTTTAAAATGTACAATTCATTTTATCAGGTCATTTCATAGATTTGTGCCACCATCACCACTGTCTAAGTTAAGAATACTCCTATTGCCAAAAAGGAACTGCTTGCATTTTAGTAGTTGCTTCCCATGTCCTTCAACCCTCCTAGCACTATACAACTACTACTTTGTTTTTGACTGTATAGATTTGCCTACTTTACATATTTTAAATAGAAGTGTATTATGTCAATCTTCAGGGAATAGATTCTTCCATTAAGATTCATTTTTCAGTGTGTATGTTACAGCACATATGACTATTTCATATCTTTTTATCTCTGTCTCTGCCTCTTTACGTCTCTCCCCCTCCTGTCTCCCTCACTGTCTCTTTCTCTCACTTGCAAAAGTTCTGCAACTGAGCTATACCCCAGGCCCCAGTATTGCATTTCTTTTCCTTTTTTAAATCCTAGTGAGTTCATTGGACTTGTTAACAGAGCATAGGGTGGGGGGTTATTTACAGAAAAGTAGATGCCCCCCATTTACAGCTGCACTGGAAAGTCCATACTCAAACATAGATCCTGTGACTTCCTGACAGCTGCAGAAAATGGTGGGAGAGGTGCCTCCTGGCATTTTCAGCTTATATATCCTTAGGCCCTCCCCCATATGCAGCTAAGGTTGACTGATTGGGTGGGAGGGGTAACTGACTCCCCCCTTGAATCCTTGATGAGTGTAGAAAGGAGGTGTGACTATAGTTTGCTGGCATAGTGGTCGGAGGACACTTCCAGGTACAGGGACAAAAGTCCCTGAGCTTTGGAGGGGGTGATAGGTGTGAGATGATTTTCTTCTTTGTGGTAAGGCACTGAACTTTTGGGTCTCTGCATCATGTTTTCCATGGGCTTTTGGCCCATTTCAGTGGGATTCCATCTACTATAAAAACACAAGCAGCAAGAAGCAAGAACATCTAAACAATGACTACTATAATAACTTAACCTATGGGTGTAAGCACAAATGCTTTGATGGTACTTTAGCAGGTGCATCACATCCATCTAACAAAACAGTTGCAGTGGCTTCCCCACTGGGGCCTATGACCTCCCCTGCTACAGGGGGTTGGCCTGGTCTACAGTACTGGATGTGTTTTCCACCCCTAGGAGTGGGCATTATATCCAATTGAAAATTTGCTGTTGTACATACACTAGACATGCCACTATTGCATCAGCTGGAACATCTTGTTTGGCATGTTGATAGTGCAGCATGTGGGGTCTGTCATTGAGCAGAATTATAGGGAATAGTGCTCCCCTGGGCATCTGTGTGTCACCTTCTGGCACGATGAAAGCCACCCACCCATCCAGCGACAGGGAGTTTCCAGCTTAGTCCTAGCCTGATTTCTCCCTCCCTGCGCTCACATCATGCTGTGTCTTCAGCAACAGGGTTTTACCATCCACTCCTGGTGTACAACCAACATTATTGGCAATGGCCTTTATTGTTATGGGGACTTCTTGGGCCCCTCTGGCCAATAGCTGATAGGGGTGCAACCCACCCCTGGTACTGGGACTTTCATTCAACAGCTGTATGGCTTCTGGACGGGCTTTCTTCCATCCCCAATAGGTTTCCTTCTGTGCTTAAGGCTTTTTTAAAAAATTTTTTTTCACTGTGTATTGGGGGAAAAAATTTCCCCCTTTATTTCCATAGTTATTGGTATAGCCCTCCTTCCCCCTTTTCTCCTTTAACTACCCCCTTTTTGCATATTTCTCCCTCAGTAACACCTTTCTCCTACTATACTTTTCTCTCGGGTTCCTTCTTTCCTTTTGCCTCCCTGGTTCCCTTCTGTATTCCTGGTTCCTGCAGTTACATTAGGATATGCACTCACTTATAAGGATTTGGTGTGAGGATCCACAAATGAGGGAGAACATACATCTTTTGTTTTTACACATCTGTGTTATTTCACTTAGTATAACAGTTTCTAGATCCATCCATTTACCTTCAAATTTCCTAATTTCATCTTTCTTTACTGTTGAGTTGAACTCCATTGTGTAAATATACCACATTTTTGTTAACCACTTGTCAGTTGAGGAGCACTTAGGTTGCTTCCATCTCTTAGCTATTGTGAAAAGAGCAGCAAAAACATGGTTGTACAAGTGTCTGCAATAGGATGGGTCCTTTTGGTATATGCCAAGGAGTGGTTTAACTGGGTCATATGGTAGGTTCATTTCTAGTTTTGTTTTTTTTTTCTTTTTGAGACAGGGTCTCCTTGTAGCCCCAGCTGTCCTGGAACTCACTATGTAGACCAGGCTGGCCTCGAACTCACAGAGATCCACCTGCCTCTGCCGCCCAAGTGCTGGGATTAAAGGCGTCACACCATGCCCGGCTATGTTTTCATTTTTAGTTTTTTAAGAGTTCTCCACACTGCTTTCCAGAGCATTGCACGAGTTTGCAATCCCACCAGCAGTGAATGAGTGTTCCCCTCTCTCCACATCGTTCCCAGCATTTAGTATCATTTGTTCTCTTGATCTTTGCCAGTCTGACTGGGTAAGGTGAAATCTTAAGGTGGCTTTAATTTGCATTTCCCTAATTACTAACGATGTTGAACACTTTTTAAGATGTTTGTTAGCCATCTTTATTTCTTCCTTTGAGAACTCTCTATTTAGATCTTTAGCCCATCTTTTAATTGGGTCATTTGTTTTTTTGGTTCTTTGTTTTTTGAGTTGCGATTTGGGGAAGCTTTGGAGGCCGGATACAGGTGCTCTCAGGCAATCTGCTGTGGTCTCAGCCTCTACTCCAGGTGGAGGGCAGATCAGGCACTCTTAGGCTGTCTGCTTAGGTCTTCATATTTCATTTCATTTTATGGCCAAATAATAATTCCACTGTATGGATATGCTATAATTTTTGTATGTCTGTCTATTCATTAATGAATATTTGGATTTTTTTTCTTTTGCTAATATATTGGGTGTTGCTCCACAATTGGTATTCTTTTTATACCTTCACTAGCCGGGATAATGATTCCAGTTTCTCTGCATCTTTACCAGTACTTGCTATTTTGCTTCTTTTCTTTTTAATTAAAATTTAAAACTTTTAATGAATTCCGTGAATGAGTACTGTATTTACATAATTTCTACACCTCTTTCTCTTCCATTTTCTCTCATGCCCCCACTCTCTCAAATTCATGACTTTATTATTGCACACACACACACACACACACACACACACACAAATACCCTATGGAGTCCAATGTTGCTCATATATACATGTGTTTGGGGCTGACTACTTGGGGTTTAATAAGCTATTAGGGAGCTAGTCCCTGGAGAAAACTGATTTTCCCTGTCTATAGCCATTGATTGCCTGTCGCTCTTCATCTAGAGGTGGGACCTTGTGAAATTTCCCCAACCATGATGGCATGTCCACTGGCATTGTCATTATGCAGATCTTGTTTTAGCAACTGTATTGTTGAGATTTCATGGGTGCAACTTCCCTGTCATGCCTAAAAGATACGATCTTGTAGCAGTCATCCTTATTCTTTGGGTCTTAAAATCTTTCTGCCCCTCTCTTCCATGATGTTCCCTGACCCTTAGATGTAGGAGTTGTGTCATAGATGTACCAATTGGGGATGGGCACCTCATGGTCACTTATTCTCTGCACCTAAAATTTTTTAAAAAATTTTATGTGTATGAATGTTTTGCCTGCATGTAAGTGCAACTGTGTCATGCAGTGCTTATAGTGGACAGAAGAGAATGTTGGAACCCCTGGAACTGGAGTTGCAGATGGTTTCTTTTTTTTTAGCTGTCATGTGGGTGCTGGGAATTGAACCTCGGTCCTCTGCAAGAACAATGAGTGCTTTTAACTGCTGAGCCCTCTCTCCAGCCTCATTTAGTCTCTCCATTTTGAGCAGTTGTGGATCTCTGTAATAGTCTTCATTTGCTGCAGAAAGAAGTTTCTTTGATGAGGGGTGAGAGCTACACTTATCTGTGGATTTAAAGATAATTATTTAGAATATAGTTAGAAATTATATTGGTTTAGGAAATTGGCAGTAGTAGGTTCATCTGTAGATTTGCGTATATAATCTGAAATAGCCATAGAAGCCAGAAAAGTAGAAAGGGACACCAAGGGAGGGGAGAAAAAGGACCTCTAGAGAGGGAAATAGTAGGACATGGGTGCTATGAAGGGGGAAAGGGGAAGAACAGGGGGGTGGGACCTTTAACTTGGAAGGGAAAAGAGAGGGTAGTGCTTATCAAAATGATGACTACAGTCATCTTAGTAGGTATGAACTGCTGTGTCATTTTGGTTTTGATTTGGATTTCTATAATTTTCAGGTCCTTGTTAGGAACTCATAAATCTTTTTGTGGGAAATGTATTCCAGTATTTTGTCCTTTTTTGATTGGATTATTTTTCTTTATTGTGCTATAAGAGTTCTTTATTCTGGATACTAGTCCCATGTATAAATCTTTCAAATATTTTTCTATTGTATGGGTTATTGCCTTACTTTCTCCATAGCATCTTTAAAATTACAACAGTTTTTAATTATAATGAAATCCAACTTATCTATTTTATCAGTTTTTCTTCCCTTGTGCTTTAGTTATGTTTTTTTTTACTATAGCATTGTAAATTTGGAATTTATAAATGTCTTAGTGTTAGCCACTGATTTGAAAGAATAAGCTCTAAGTATTTCAGAGTTAACTTTTTCTGACAATTTTCAACTATTGACCAATTTTTGTTCACTTTAAAGCATATGTCCCTCTCTTTGTCTTTCTTGGGTGTCTTATATCACATTTGTTTTGTAGGGTGTAGTCCCTACTGCTCAGCGTGCTGCCATCGTTGTTGGAGTAGAGTTGCCAGTTTATGATATTACCAAGAAGCACCTGATACTGTCAGGAATGATGGGAGACACAATTTTAACACACTTTGTGTAAGTAGGATATGTTTTATGAATTCTCTATTTCCAGCAATTTGAGCATAGGAAGCCACTTGCACTGATGTTCTCAGGTAGACTTATCACTGGTATGGATGGCTTGAACAGCCATCTCCTATTGCCAACAGTTCAAACCTTCTGAACATTTTACATGTTTTTCTTTTTAATTTATTAGTATACATTCATTATTCAAAATAATGAGTTTTTAAAAATATTTTATTGAGCCATGCGTGGTGGTGCACACCTTTAATCCCAGCACTCAGGAGGCAGAGGCAGGCAAATCTTTGAGTTCAAAGCCAGCCTGGTCTAAATAGCAAGTTCAAGGACAGTTGGAGGTATAGGGAAACCCTGTCTCAAAAAATTTTATTATTTCTTATTTTATGGGTATGGGTGTATTGCTTGCCTGTATGTAAGTGTACCTGTGTCATACAGTGCTCACAGAGGTCAGAAGAGGGTGTTGGATCCCCTGGAACTGGAGTTATGGACAGTAGTTAGTTACCATGTGGGTGCTGGGAGTTGAACCCAGGTCATCTACAAGAGCAGTTAGTGCTCTTAACCACTGAGCCATCTCTTTAGCCCCCCAAATAATGAGTTTTAAAAAAATTATTTTTATGTTATGTGTATGAGTGTATTGCCTGCATGTATGTAAGTGCACCTTTATCATGCAGTGCCCATGGAGGTCAGAAGAGGGCGTTGGATTCCCCTGGATCTGGAGTTACAGAGTTTCTTTCCATGTGGGTGCTGGGAATCAAACCTAGGTCCCCTGCAAGAGCAGCCAGTGCTCTTAACCACTGAGCCATTTCTCCAGCCCCCAAATAATGAGTTTTATTATGGCATTTCCTTTTATTTACTTTTTGTCATTATTTAGTATATACTCACTATAAGAGATTATGTGCTTCACTATGACAATAAAATTTTTTTATTTATTTTCATTTTGTGTGTTTGAGTTTTTGCCTGCATTTATTTAAGTGTACCATGTGTGTGAAATGCCCACTATGACTGGAAGAGGGCATCAGATCACCTGGAACTGGAGTTACTGATAGTTGTTAGCTGCCATGTGTCATGTGCTGGGAACTGAACCCAGGTCCTGTGAAAGAGCAGCCAGTGCTCTTAACTGCTGAGCCCCTTATTTCACATTTTCTTATATGTATATCATATACTTTGCTCATATTCATAATATGTATGTTAAGTACTTGGATCATATTCTCCTCCTGCACATTATCCACACTTGCCCTCTCCTTCCTCCTTTAGAACATTTTACACTGTGTAGAGATCTCAGATTCTGTGGGTACTTGGGCACTTAGGAGCTGTGTGTAATTTAGCAACCTACCAGATATTTGTAGGATATTCATACACAACCTCTACATTTATATTTGTTTGTTTGTTTGTTTATTTATTTATTTATTTATTTAATTTGAGACAGGGTCTCATGTATCCCAGGCTGGCCTCAAACTCACTGTATAGCCAAGGATGACTTTAAATTTCTGATCTTCCTGTCTCTATCTTCAGAGTGCTGGGATTATAGTGCAGGATCCCGCCCCGAGTTGCTACCTTGACCCCCTCAGGGATAAATTGTGACCAGGGAGATGTAAGCCAAATTAACTCTTTCCTCCCCAAGTTGGTATTGGTTAGAGTTGGTATTGATCAAAGTGTTGTATCACAGCAGTTGAAAACAAACTAGAATACCTGGTTTGTGCAGTGTTGGGGATCAAATCTAGGGCTTCAGACACATTAAGCAAACACTCTGCAGACTTAGCTACATCGTCAGTTCAATCAATCTGTACATCTAGCAATCATTTCTATTATTGTCCTTGCTTAAATTATTTTTTAATTATTTTTTTAACTCTTCTCAGTGGGAATCAGAAAAAAAGAGTCAAATTTTATAGTTTCTGAAAATATACAGTTTTTGGCTGAAAACTATTGCTGCTCTTACCTTACATTTTCTTAGTCTTGTAACCTTTATTATACTTTGTCACTTAAGTGTGTTTGGTATATGATGCTGCACTTTGAAAATTTTATGTAACTCATCAATGGTGCATGGCACTTCCTGCTTAGAGGTGTTGTTAGGCTTATAAGCTGTCTCTTTAAAATGAGACTGAGTTTCAGAGTGAAAACTGAAGGGATAACCTTTGAATGATGTTTCCTTGGACAATATTTCATTTCTCTTTAGATGATAATGAAAGGATGTCAAGCTTTATCTGATGGCTCTGAGCTTTTTTTTTGGTCTTTCTGACACAGGATCTCCCTGTAGCCTCAACTCTCCTGGGACTCGCTATGTAGAGCAGGCTGGCCTCCAACTCACAGATATCTGCCTGCCTCTGCCTCCTGAGTGCTAGGATTAAAGGTGTGTGCCTTCATACCTGGTGGTTCCGAGTTTTTATACCTTTATGTTTGCCCTAATTTCTGTTTAAGTGGACAAGTGGTGGAAGTGGGGGTAATCTCTCTTCTTAAATTAGTTTTTACCTTTAGTTCCAGCTTTACATGTGGCTTGGCTGGGGCTCTGGCATCCAATCCAGTTGATGTGGTGAGAACTCGCATGATGAATCAGAGGGCAATAGTGGGACATGTGGACCTCTACAAGGGTACTTTGGATGGTATTTTAAAGGTATGTACACTGTGGATTTGAGTTATAGTTTCAGTTTTCTTTGATGTCTGAGACCTTTCTCAGTCCTAACTCTTGTTGCTGTATATCATTCTGAAAAATCAAACATTCATTTTGTATATTTTTAGTAGACTCTGAGAATCATTTTAAAGCAAACAATCTGTCTCCTTGGCAATTTTCTAATTAATGCACAGGGCTCCTAAATATTGTTCTAATTTGAATGCTGAAGAATATAGGATACTTCTATTAATAGCACTATGTAGAATTATTGGCAGTAAGATTTAATATATCCCACATTTTCCCACTTCAAATAAGACAGAGATTCTGTAATAGAAAATTTGATAGTTAAAAATTTTTAAAAAGGATACAAAGTTGGGGAGTAGGGAGGGGTGGGGGTGGATCTGGGAGGAGTTGAGTTAGGAGGAATGGAGGTGAATATGCTCAAAATACATTGTATGAAATTCTTACAGAATTAATACAAATATAGCTGGGCGTGATAGTGCACACCTTTGATGCCAGTACTCAGGAGGAAGAGGCAGGCAGATCTCTGTGAGTTTGAGGCCAGCCTGGTCTGCATAGCGAGTTCCAGGACAGCTAGAGCTACAGGGAGCCCCTGTCTCAGAAAAGACAAAAAACCCAAATATAAAAAAATAAAAACTTGAAACCCAATACTTGATTTAAGTTTAGGCTTCTGTTGATTACATTTTGCTTTGAATATTTCTCTTGGATTTGAATATTATAAATGTATACAGAAGTGTTGGTAACATTGCTGCTGTTAAAACAAATTCAGGGATAAAATATGAAGGTTGCTATATGGTTTTCTCGTTGTTATCATTTTCATTGAACAACTGTTTATTATTTATCAGGTATCATTTTAGTGGCTATAGGGAAATTATAGCCATTACAAAAGTACTGGCAGTGTACAAACAGATAATCAATACAGCCTGGTAAGTGATAAACTCAGAAATCTATGGTAGGAAATTATAGCTCAATTGAGAAGTTTGAAACAAGCTCCCTGGAGATGTTAGTAAATTGAATAATAATAGCTCACATCTGTTGAGTGCTTTATTGCATGACAGGAGCTGTTCTAATGACACTTCCATGTATATTCATTTAATTCTCCCCATTACCCCATGTATTAGATATGGAAGCACTGAGGGAGTAACCTCAAAGTTTCAGCTAGCAAGTGGGAGTGCTGCAATAAACTCAAACTTTTGACTTAAAACAATATTGTTCACTTCTACACTTGATGCTTTCCTGATATTAGTGGCTATGGGTTGGTTAGGTTATAAAGGGCATTGAATGTTGTCCTGGTTTGTTTCTTCACTGCTGTGACAAAATACTCTGACCAATACCAACTTAGGGAGGAAAGGGTTTGTTTGGCTTTATATCTCCCAGGTCACAGTTCATCAGGGAGTCCAAGGTAGGAACTCAGGGCAGGAACCTGGAGGCAGGAGCTGGAGCACAGGCCATGGAGGAATGCTGCTTACTGGCTTGCTCCTCTGGCCCCTGCTCAGCCTCCTTTCTTATGCAACACAGGCCCACCTGCCCAGGGGTGGCATCACCCACAGTGGGCTGGGCCCTCCCACATCACTCATCAAGAACATGCCCCTCAGACATGGCGGCAGGCCAGTCCAATAGAGGGAATTCCCCAATTGAGGCTCCCTCAACCCAGGGGAGCTGGAGCATGGAGGAATGCTGCTTACTGGCTTGCTCCTCTGGCCCCTGCTCAGCCTCCTTTCTTATGCAACACAGGCCCACCTGCCCAGGGGTGGCATCACCCACAGTGGGCTGGGCCCTCCCACATCCCACATCAA